TTGGTCGCGCACACCGACAGCGACGAAGACTACTGTTGGAAGAGAGGTGCCTCACGTCGCGAGGGGACGGCGACGGCCTCCCTCGAGCTGAGGTGATGTGCGTTTTTAACACGTTCTCAACACGTTTTTTTTTTTTTTCCTACATCCTAAAACGTTGCTTTGCTTTTCTGCAGAATCTGACGCGCACGACGCACGGCGACGTATGGCGACGGCGACGAATGGAGAGGAATGCCGCATGGCAACGGTCCTTTGGGCGGGACCACGGTGCTTGGCGGTGCTTCTCCCTGCCGTTGCTTGGTGGTTTTTCCGTCGCTCTACCGTCGGCTTCCGTCGCTCTTTCGTCACTTCGTCCGTCGCGCGGATCTCTTCGCTCAAGCCTGAGGTAACGTGTGAGGTCAATTTCGGCAGATTCTTTTTATTTTGTTCTCGACGGTTTCGTTCTGATTCTCCTTCTCCTTCTCAACGACTTGCAGAAGGTGACCGTCAGCCGGCGTACGGGTGGAGACGACGGATGCTGATGCGTGGAGACCGTGGCGCGAGGCACGGCGACGCGTCTTCGTCGCGCCTCGTGGGCGCACGACGTGTCTGGCGGGCGAGAGGCGTGTCTCACGGCGGGACTCACACGGCGCTTCTCTCTGCGCTTGGCGGCAACATCAACGTGGTAAGCATCACTTCCCGTTTCCTGCTTTCGTTTTCTTCCAAAAATTAACTTTTTTTCGTGTGATTCGTCTTAGTGCAGCCAGGAGGAGCGTGAGGGGGGGCAAACGCCGCAGGCGGCGACAAGGGACAACGGCTGCAGCCTTCGTTCTCTCGTGGTAAGTATCAGTTTCAGTTTCCTGCTTTTGTTTTCTTCCAGAGACTAACTTCTTTTCGTGTGATTCGTCTTAGTGCAGCCAGGAGGAGCGGATGTCATCAGGTTCAACATTTAACATCTCTTTTTATGTGTAAGCAGCTCCATAAGCTTGTAACGCCCAGCATTTCATCTCTTCAAACCTTTGACCACCAAAATGAGACTTACCACCATGAGGTTGCTGTGTAACTAAGCTATAACGGCCGATAGCTTAGTTACACAGCATCCTCTTGGTGGTAAGTCCCATTGTGACATTACAAGCTTTTGGAACTGCCTTCACATTACAAGAGATGTTCTTTGTTAAATCTGATGACCTCTCCGCCCCCCCTTCCGCTCCACTGGCCCATCCGGCGACAACGACGACAACGGTAAAAATCCCGGCGGCTGCAGCCTTCTTTCTCTCGTGGTAAGTATCAGTTTCAGTTTCCTGCTTTTGCTTTTCAAGGTTTTAACTTCTTGTCTGCTCCGTCTTAGTGCAGGAGCGGCGTTACCGGGAGGAGGAGCTCGCGGGGCCGGCGGCGAGCAACGGAGGTAACGCGGGAGGTGGTCTCCCTTGCCTGGTAAGTGCCGTCAGATTTCGTGAAGTTTTTTCTTTGATTATGAAACTAACTTATTTTTGTGTGCGTTCTACTTTAGCGCAGGCGATGCGGGGATGGGAGCTCGCGGGCCGCATGGCGACGCTTCTTCGGGGCATCAGAGCACGGCACAGCGCGGCTCACGGTGCGTGACGGCGCTTCTCTCTGCTGTGGTGGTCAGTTCGTCCCGTCGTCTCTTCACCTTTCCGCTCGTCGCATTTTGCGCTTCTCTCTCTGTCACGCTTCCGCACGTTTCTCGCTTTTAGCGCGCTGTCTCCTTTTCAAATTGACTAAATGTTTTGTTATTTGTCGGCTGTGCTGCAGGCACGGTAAGTTGGTCTCGAGGGAGGCTCCACACACGTGGGGCGCGGTGAGGAGCAAGGAGGAGCGAGGTGGAATCTGGCTTCCCCTCCCAGCCCGCCCAGGGGGCGCAGTTTTGGCAGGGGCGGGAGCAACCAGCGCAAGCGGGAGCAACCAGCGCAAGCGGGAGCAACCAGCGCAAACGCCAGGCTTGTAAGAGGTGTGCTAGTGGTTACAGAACGATTAGGAGCGTTAGACAGATTCGATTAGGCACACAACACGGGCGATGGTATGGGTGGAGCGTTAGACAGACTCGATTAGCCACACACATGGGCGATGGTATGGGTGGTGAAGGTGCGTTCAGGTATGCATCATGACGGCTGGTCGTCCTCTTGACGGCTGGCCGTCATTCTGACAACATTGTATTGTGACGTCATTGTGAACCTATCGTCATTTTCATCTGCCCGTCATTTTCATCTGCCCGTCCCTAATTTTAATCGTTTCCCCCCTCTCCCAAGCACTTTTCTCCCCGCCCCACCCCCCCCCCCTCCCTCCCAAGCAGACCCCACGCGAATGACCCTCACCTCAACGTGGTGCGTGGGTGTAACGTCAGGGGCATTTGCTTCTGACGGCCAAGAGGGGTCAAGAAGACTTTCAAGATCCGAAGATACGAAGATCAGAAGAGAAGACTAGAAGATCAAGCTGACGGCCAAGAGGGGTCAAGAAGACTTTCAAGGTGCCGCTGTGGATGGTGAAGAAGAAAACAAGATAAGAAGATCAGAAGACTAGAAGATAAGATATTAAAGCTGCTTTGGAGTCGAGGCGCTGCTGTGGAGGCTCAAGTGGATCTGACTTGGCTTAGAGAGCTTAGATAGCTTAGCAGCGACTCTCGATTCTGACTTGTAACTCTCGATATAATGAATTACTCTCTGTACTTTCGTATGAATGGCACCTTGGACAGAGTTCTGTCGTGAAACTTATTAGTTGAAAAATATGGCAAGGACATGAGAGTTACGCTTTTCGTAGCTTTTCCTGAGTTCTAACTCCAAACCTTGCGTCTCCAGCAGCAATTACTCTCGTAGATGTGGTGACCATTTCATCTTTGTATACTTATTTGCAGGCTCTGGCTGCTGGAGATTCGATATTAGTACTCTCGATAATTTTGACCCTAAAAAACTCGTTCGCAGAATCCGGTAAGACTTCCCAAGCTGTTGCTTGACTGACTGGGTCCAGGTTACGGTACATCCTCAAGTGTTACAGCTAGAATGAGTTACGACACGGCCGTTGGTTCCGTCGCGCGGCGGAGCGATCTGACGATCAGCGCAACTTTCAGCGTAGATATCAGCGCAACGACTGGCGCAATGTCAGTGCCACTAATAGCGCAAGCAGCAGAACGATCAGCGCCTCGCTCAACCCAGCGGTCAGCGCAACGATCGGCGCAACCATCAGCGCAGCGATTCGCGAAACGACTGGCGCAACTGTCCGCGCAGCAATCAGCGCAATCCTCGGCTTGACGGATCGGCGCAACGACCATATCAAGGATGCGCGCAGCGAAAGAGACGTTCGACGGTCATCGCCTTGCAGTTTAGATCTGTAACAGTTTTCATGATTCCTACCTTTCTCATGACCTTGCATCTTATGGCTTCCCCAATCTGCGGCGTAGTGCCGCGGAATGCGCATTGCCGTCCCCAGCGACCCCCCCGCGCCTTGAATCCCGCTACACTCATGCTCCCACTCTCACTCTCTGCCGCAGTCAGCCTGACTGCCTTGCTGGCGATGCAGCCTCCAGTGCTATGAGTGTCCGTTGCTCGTTGTCACTCTGTCATGGGCATTCTGACTGTCATTCTGCTATGAGTGTCCGTTGCTTGGTCCTAACTGCCATGCTGTCGCTGGGGCAGCCGCCTGGCTCCGCCATGGGCGCTGTGGGGACACGTCTCATGGCCGAGTTTGATGGGCCGAGGTGGGGAGGTGATGCATGCGGCCCCCTGTGCTATGAGTGTCCGTTGCTTGTTCCTGACTGCCATGCTGTCGCTGGGCACTGTGGTCGCTGGGGTAGCCACCTGGCTCCAAGTTTGATGGGCCGGGGTGGGGAGGCGTCAAGTCATATCACCAGGGGCACTGAGATGCCATCACTTGCGCTGACTCACCCAACCTCCACCCGCTCCCTCCCTTCGCTCTCCCTCCCTCCCTCCCTCCCTCCCTCCATCCATCCCTCCCTGCCCTCCCGTCTGACTGCATCGTCACCACCGGCACCCCCGACAGCATTGCGGCCTTTCCCCCTCTCCCCCATCACACACTCCCCATCTGCACCTGCTCCTTCCCTCCCTCCCTCCCTCCCTCCCTCCCTCCCTCCCTCCCTCCCTCCCTCCCTCCCTCCCTCCCTCCCTCCCTCCCTGGCAGCCCTCCCGTCTGACTGCATCGTCACCACCGGCCGGCACCACTGACATCAGGTTGGTGCGAGAGCAGGTTGGAGCAGGTTGGTTCTGCTTTTGAGTCGACTCAAAAGCACCACCGACAGCATTGCCAGAGCACCACAGGGGAGGAGGGGGGGGGGGGGGGGGGGGAGGGGGCGAGAGCAGGTTGGTGAATGGCAGTGGGGGGGGGCGACTGCAAGCAGGGCATCAGAGGATCGAAGCTGGGGTGAATGGGCGCACCCCTCTGTGGCACACGGGCAGGCGAGCAGGCTGAACTGATGGAGAGGATAAGAGGAGTGGCGGAGGGGTGAGGGTGAGGGTGAGATGGGATGCATGTGGAAGAATGTGAACAGCTGGATTCGCTATCCATACTTCATAGCTCTGGCTACATCACTTTTGAGGCGCCTCAAAAGGGGTCCTGGCTGCTGGTGGTGGTGCAACAAGAGATGGGATGCATGTGGAAGAATGTCGTCAGCTGGATCCATCCATTATCCATACTTTATAGCTCTGGCTGGCTACATTAGGGCATTTGTCCTCGGAGGGCAAGGGCAAGAGAGTTGTGTGGGCAGGGGCACGCTGAAGTTTAAAATGCTGGTACGGTAGAAGCCAACTTGTTGCCAAGTGATTCGTTCAAGTTTGCTTGGGGTTTTTTTACCCCTGCGGGAGAGCAGACACGGTAGCACCTTCACTAAACCTTCAAAAATAAATACAAGCACAAGCACAAAAGGGAAATATGAACCATTTGGACATTGGTAACTGGAGCATTGCTCGCTGTTGTTCTTCTGCTAAAGAATTATCCTAGCCTAGTCCCATGGCTCGCCTAGTCTCATGGCTGGAGGCAACTGGAGCATTGCTCGCTGCTCACTCTCTTCCCCCCTCCTCCCCTCCACTGCCCCTATCATCGCCCCTCCTCCACACCTTTCTCTCACTGCGCCTCCCTTCCCCTCCCCTCCTCTCCCCTCTCCCTCTCCCCACGCCTCCCCTCTCCCCCACCTTTCCCCCACCCCTTCCCCCTTCCTTCCGCCGCCCCCCCTTCCCGTGCCGGGCGGCAACGGGCGGCAGCTCCTCGTCTGGTCCTAGAGGGAGGGCGGCGCCTGTCTGTGCTTCAAGGGTGCTCTTGAGTTGCTGTAGAATGCGAATCTGAGCTAGCTTTTGGGGGGAGAGCAGGTGCCAGTAGATGCCTGCAGGGTGGAAAGGGGTGGAAAGGGATGGTGAGGGGTGGAAAGGGAGGATAAGGTGCTCTGAATTGGTGAAAACAGGGTGCTTTTGAGTTGCTGCAGGATGGGAATCTGAGCTAGTAGATGCTTCCGGGGGGACAGAAGGGGCCAGTAGATGCTGGGAGGGGTAAAAACGGGTGGAAAGGGGTGAAAAGGGGTTGTGAATAGGTGGGAGAAGGTGTTATTGAGTTGCTGCAGAATGCGAAACTGAGGCAGGTCTTGGGTGGAGAGAAGATGCCACTTGCAAGGAGAGGAGAATGACACTTGCAAGGAGAGGAGAATGACACTTGCAAGGAGAGGAGAATGACACTTGCAAGGAGAGGAGAATGACACTTGCAAGGAGAGGAGAATGACACTTGCAAGGAGAGGAGAATGACACTTGCAAGGAGAGGAGAATGACACTTGCAAGGAGAGGAGAATGACACTTGCAAGGAGAGGAGAATGACACTTGCAAGGAGAGGAGAATGACACTTGCAAGGAGAGGAGAATGACACTTGCAAGGAGAGGAGAATGACACTTGCAAGGAGAGGAGAATGACACTTGCAAGGAGAGGAGAATGACACTTGCAAGGAGAGGAGAATGAGAATGACACTTGCAAGGAGAGGAGAATGACACTTGCAAGGAGAGGAGAATGACACTTGCAAGGAGAGGAGAATGACACTTGCAAGGAGAGGAGAATGAGAATGACACTTGCAAGGAGAGGAGAATGACACTTGCAAGGAGAGGAGAATGACATGGATGGATGGATGGATGGATGGATGGATGGATGGATGGATGGATGGATGGATGGATGGATGGATGGATGGATGGATGGATGGATGGATGGATGGATGGATGGATGGATGGATGGATGGATGGATGGATGGATGGATGGATGGATGGATGGATGGATGGATGGATGGATGGATGGATGGATGGATGGATGGATGGATGGATGGATGGATGGATGGATGGATGGATGGATGGATGGATGGATGGATGGATGGATGGATGGATGGATGGATGGTGCTGAGTCGACTCAAAAGTCACCCAGAAGGCAAAGCAGGTGGACAGCAGACGATGCCTGGAGGCAGTTAGGGGATAACAGGGGTGGATGGAGGTGCCAGGAACAGACTAGCCTAAGCTCCGCCTACAAGAGATTTGAACGAGTAAGCTCTGCTGGATCTGGGTCGAAACTTTCTTCCTAGGCCAGGAATGGACCCTCCTGCCCACACATCACTGAACCATCTCACCTGACCAGATCACCTGAGAACTTTCACCTGAGGACAAACCTGATTACTTGAGGGCTGTCAGCTGAGGGCTTAAGGATCTTAGAGGAGACTCGGATGATCTGTGTGGGCGTGCAGATGATGTCAACCGGCGGGTCGTGCCGTGGTTGTGAGCTCATCTGAACTCATGGCAGGTCAGACCAAAGGCAGCTTACCTGAGGGTTTGGGTATCCTGGAGGAGACGCGGATGATTTGAGTGGGCGTGCAGATGATGTCGACTGGCAGGTCGTGCTGCCTGAGGTTGCTGGTGGGGATGGCGCCTGCTGCAACTAACTGACAGTCATGTACTGATGGGTGGGATTGGGGTCATGGGTGGGATAGGAGGTACAGGTGGGGGGAATGGGTAGGGAGAATGGAGTTTCATAGCAGTCACAACACAACGCACAAGGCACAGGCACGGCAGATGATGTCTACAGGCAGGTCGTGTGGACTTTTGAGTCGACTCAAAAGGCAGGGCAGATGATGTCTACAGGCAGGTCGTGCTGCCTCAGCTTGCTGGTGGGGATGGCGCCTGCTTGCACTAGCTGACAGTCGTGCACTGGAGTGGTGGAGCAAGGGTGAATCACAGAGCAGTCCAAGGGGAATCATGTTCTGCTGCTTGCTCTCTCTACCACGCTTGCTCTCTCTACCACGCTTGCTCTCTCTATCATGTTGTGCAAAGGCTTCAAATGCTTCGTGACTGCGTTTTGAGTCGACTCAAAACACACCTACCACGCATGGCGGTTGTGCAAAGGCTTCAAATGCCTCGTGACTGCGTTTTGAGTCGACTCAAAACACACCTACCACGCATGACGGTTGTGCAAAGGCTTCAAATGCCTCGTGACTGCCCACCAAATGCCTCGTGACTGCCCACCAAATGCCTCGTGACTGCCCACCAAATGCCTCGTGACTGCCCACCAAATGCCTCGTGACTGCCCACCAAGTGCCTCGTGACTGCCCACCAAATGCCTCGTGACTGCCCACCAAATGCCTCGTGACTGCCCACCAAATGCCTCGTGACTGCCCACCAAATGCTTCGTGACAGGGACATTCGAGCTACCTATGGACACATCTCACTGCCCACCAAATGCCCACGGGTCAAACCAGCAGTGACCCACCTATGGAAACACGCGTGCTTTCTCCCTGTCTCAGAACTGTCATGTAGACTCAAGGCTCACCAGTGGTGACCACAGGCGTGTCGTCCGTGACTGCGCCCATCCACCTCAGAATGCCGTACTCCAACTCTGCAAAGCCCTGTGAGGTGTGGTGGGGTGCGGCAAGAGCAGGTAATGGTGAGCAAAGGAGTGTCGTCCATAACTGCCCCCATCCACCTCAGAATGCCGTACTCCAACTCTGCAAAGCCCTGTGGATTGGGGATTGACGCATGGGTGTATAACACAGAGGAGGGAGTAGCACGCGGTGTTGTGCGGTAAAAGCAGGTGGTGACCTGAGCACATGATTCTTGTCAGTGGCTGCCCCCATCCACCTCAGAATACCATACTCCAAATCTGCAAAGCCCTGTGACTCGGGGATTGACGCATGGGTGTATCACACACAAGGACTGGCGCATGAAGAAACACTAGGCATATGTTTCACAGGAGGAGCACGCGGTGTGGTGCGGTAGGAGCAGGTGGTGGCTTGAGCACAGGATTCCTGTCAGTGACCGCCCCCATCCACCTCAGAATACCATACTCCAACTCTGCAAAGCCCTGTGGCTCGGGGATTGGCAAAAATGGGTGTATAACACAGAGGAGGGAGTAGCACACGGTGTGGTGCGGTAAGAGCAGGTGGTGGTGACCACAGCAGTCCTCTCAATGACTGCAGTCACCCAAATGTGAAAGGCATTGTGGGTCAGGGATTAAGCAGAAAACATGGAGAATTCTACAATGCATAAAGCAATGCATAAAGCAAAGCATAAACATCTCTCCCCCCTCCCCTTCCCCCTCACTTCCTCTCTCCCTCTACGTCCCCCGTCCCCCTCACCTCACCTTTCCCCTTACCTCGCCTTTCCCCAGCCTGGCACCAGTGGTGGGGTCAACAGCAACAGACCCAAGCACCACCATATCCACTGCAACTTGCGTGCTGCACTGCATGGAGCAATGCACGGTGCACTGACTGAGGCAACATATGCCGCAATACATGAGGCAACATATGCCGCAATACATGAGGCAACATATGCCGCAATACATGAGGCAACATATGCCGCAATACATGAGGCAACATATGCCGCAATACATGAGGCAACATATGCCGCAATACATGAGGCAACATATGCCGCAATACATGAGGCAACATATGCCGCAATACATGAGGCAACATATGCCGCAATACATGAGGCAACATATGCCGCAATACATGAGGCAACATATGCCGCAATACATGAGGCAACATATGCCGCAATACATGAGGCAACATATGCCGCAATACATGAGGCAACATATGCCGCAATACATGAGGCAACATATGCCGCTATACATGAGGCAACATATGCCGCATACATGAGGCAACATATGCCGCAATACATGAGGCAACATATGCCGCAATACATGAGGCAACATATGCCGCAATACATGAGGCAACATATGCCGCAATACATGAGGCAACATATGCCGCAATACATGAGGCAACATATGCCGCAATACATGAGGCAACATATGCCGCAATACATGAGGCAACATATGCCGCAATACATGAGGCAACATATGCCGCAATACATGAGGCAACATATGCCGCAATACATGAGGCAACATATGCCGCAATACATGAGGCAACATATGCCGCAATACATGAGGCAACATATGCCGCAATACATGAGGCAACATATGCCGCAATACATGAGGCAACATATGCCGCAATACATGAGGCAACATATGCCGCAATACATGAGGCAACATATGCCGCAATACATGAGGCAACATATGCCGCAATACATGAGGCAACATATGCCGCAATACATGAGGCAACATATGCCGCAATACATGAGGCAACATATGCCGCAATACATGAGGCAACATATGCCGCAATACATGAGGCAACATATGCCGCAATACATGAGGCAACATATGCCGCAATACATGAGGCAAAACATCTCCCCTTGCGTTCAAACCTTTCAACATGAGGCAATACTTGCGCCTTCACTCACCTCGCCCTTCCCCAGCCTGGCACCAGTGGTGGGATCAACAGCAACAGACCCCAGCACCACCATATCCACCGCAACTTTGTCCTCTAGCGCCACCGGCACTCCGTGCCGAGCCACACCGGCCGCCGTGCAGGCAGCAAGCAGCTGGTCGGGCGGGATGTGATCGGCAGAGAGGCGGGAGAAGAAACCGGTCCGCAGGCGCGGTTGGGGGGTCAGCAGGAGCTTGTTGCCTGTGGGTGGGAAGTCGGGGCGGGGTGAGGTAAGGGGAAGGCAGCAAGCAGCTGGTCAGGCCGGATGTGGTCTGTGGAGAGGCGCGAGAAGAAACTCGTTCGTAAGCGGGGCTGGGGGGTCAGCAGGAGCTTGTTGGCTGGGGGGAAGGAGAATGGTGGTGGGGAACAGTAAGGGGAGGTAGGGGGCCGGGATTAGAGGCAAAGGAATTGGTGCAGGAGAGGCGGGAGAATAAACCGGTGCGCAAATAGGGGCTGGGGGGTCAGCAGGAGCTTGTTGGCTGGGGAAGTAGGGAGGGGGGAGAGTGGGGGGGAGCAGCTGGTCGGGCGGAATGTGGTCTGCAGAGAGGCGCGAGAAGAAACCGGTTCGTAAGCGCGGTTGGGGGGTTAGCAGGAGCTTGTTGCCTGTGGGGGGGAGAAGAGGAGGGGGGGTTTGGGGGGGTGGGGTAAGGGGAATGGGAGGAAGAAGGGGAGAGGGCAGCGGAGAGGCGGGGGAAGAGGCCGGTGCGCAGGCGCGGCTGCTGGGTCAGCAGGAGCTTGTTGGCTGTGGGGGGGAGAGGGTTTGGGGGGACTGAGGTAGTGAAAAGGCGAGGAAGAGGGGGAGTGGGTGGCCGAGAGGTTCGCAGGTGCGGTTGCAGAGTTGGTGCGGGGTGGGGTGCGGTTGCAGAGTTGGTGCGGGGTGGGGTGCGGTTGCAGAGTTGGTGCGGGGTGGGGTGCGGTTGCAGAGTTGGTGCGGGGTGGGGTGCGGTTGCAGAGTTGGTGCGGGGTGGGGTGCGGTTGCAGAGTTGGTGCGGGGTGGGGTGCGGTTGCAGAGTTGGTGCGGGGTGGGGTGCGGTTGCAGAGTTGGTGCGGGGTGGGGTGCGGTTGCAGAGTTGGTGCGGGGTGGGGTGCGGTTGCAGAGTTGGTGCGGGGTGGGGTGCGGTTGCAGAGTTGGTGCGGGGTGGGGTGCGGTTGCAGAGTTGGTGCGGGGTGGGGTGCGGTTGCAGAGTTGGTGCGGGGTGGGGTGCGGTTGCAGAGTTGGTGCGGGGTGGGGTGCGGTTGCAGAGTTGGTGCGGGGTGGGGTGCGGTTGCAGAGTTGGTGCGGGGTGGGGTGCGGTTGCAGAGTTGGTGCGGGGTGGGGTGCGGTTGCAGAGTTGGTGCGGGGTGGGGTGCGGTTGCAGAGTTGGTGCGGTTGCGGGGTTAGCAGGAGCTTGTTGGCTGTGGGAGAAAGGAGGGGGAAGAGTCGGTGCGGGGTGGGGGAGGTGGAGTGGGGGGGGGAGGGGAAAGAAGAAGCCTGATTGCAGGCGGGGCTGGGGGGTGAGCAGAGCAGGAGCTTTCTGGCTGGGGGAGTGGGGGAAGGGCGAGGGGGCATGAGGGGGCATGAGGGGGCATGAGGGGGCATGCTTGCTGGAAAAGGGTGAGAACATTTGAACGGCTGCAAGATTCTCTCAACTGCTAAATTGCTAAGCTGCTGCACGCATGCGCACAGCTCACCTTGCAGGGCAGCCAGCCGCACAGCCTTCTGAGGCGTGTCTGGGTTGACCTTCACACACCCTGCTGCTTGAAATTCCGGCAGCGATGCCAGCTGGCAAGGGAAGGGGGTTTGAATGGGGGGTGTGGAGGAAGAGAAGAGAGGCATGTCAGCAAGGGGGTTTGTGCAACACACCTTGCAGCACAGCCCAAGCCGCAGCTGGCAGGGGGGTTTGTAATTGGGGGCGTGGAGGAAGAGAGGAGAGGCATGTCAGCAAGGGGGAATGAAGGCATGAGTGCTGTCACAACACGAGGCACATGGCAGGGCAGATGATGCCGACTGGCAGGTCGTGCTGCCTCAGCTGGCGAGGGGGTTTGTAAGGGGGGGTGTGGAGGAAGAGAAGAGAGAGGTTGTGTCAGCAAGGGGGTTTGTGATTTGGGGGTGTGGAGGACGAGAAGAGAGGCATGTCAGCAAGGGGGTTTGTGACTGGGCGGTGGAGGTTGGAGGTGAACGGGCAGCAGCCTGCCCTGCCCCTTCAAAGCTGGGGATGCGGTGGTGCATGGGATGCGGTGGTGCATGGGGCGCGGTGGTGCATGGGGCGCGGTGGTCACAACACACCATAACCTTCCCCTGCCCCTCCCCCCTTTCCCCCTTACCGCTCTCCCCTGTTCCCCCATTTCCCACGACTCCCCACCCCACCATACCATGGCAGCAGCTTTGTCTGCCCCCTCAAAGTTGGGAATGCGGTGGTGCGCGGGCCTTGGGGGTCAGATTTCGCCACAATGCTACCCACATTCCGCCTCCCCTTTTTTCCCCCTTTCCGCCCCCTCGCGCACCATGGCAGCAGCTTTGTCCGCCCCATCAAAGTTAGGAATGCGGTGGTGCACGGGGCGCGGCGGTCGTGCCACGTCACGCGCCTCCAGCTCGTCCCACACGCCCTTCCGCACCGCCCACTTCCACGCGCCGCCGTCACCGCTCCCGCCACTCCCTCCCGTATCTCCCGCCGCGTTTCCCGGCGCGTCTCCCACCGCGGCAGCCGCTCCCCGGGAGCCTTCCGCCATCGCCGCAAGCGCGAGCTCAGATCGCGCCCTCATCTCCGCCCGAGCCGCGTCGTCAAGCGCAAGCCGCCGCGCCTCCGACTCGGAAGAGCCGGATTCCCCCCCTGCGCCCCCATCGCCGCCTCCTGACTGGAACGGCTCGCGCGAATCGTCTCCGCGGTCAGCCTCCCCGTTAGATGCGCTCTGCGCGCCGCTGCGCGCAACCAGGCGACGGGAAATTGCGCGCTTATGTACTTGCGCGGAGGGGAGATGATTCAGGACGCGGTTGCAGAGTTGGTGCGGGGTGGGGTGCGGTTGCAGAGTTGGTGCGGGGTGGGGTGCGGTTGCAGAGTTGGTGCGGGGTGGGGTGCGGTTGCAGAGTTGGTGCGGGGTGGGGTGCGGTTGCAGAGTTGGTGCGGGGTGGGGTGCGGTTGCAGAGTTGGTGCGGTTGCGGGGTTAGCAGGAGCTTGTTGGCTGTGGGAGAAAGGAGGGGGAAGAGTCGGTGCGGGGTGGGGGAGGTGGAGTGGGGGGGGGGAGGGGAAAGAAGAAGCCTGATTGCAGGCGGGGCTGGGGGGTGAGCAGAGCAGGAGCTTTCTGGCTGGGGGAGTGGGGGAAGGGCGAGGGGGCATGAGGGGGCATGAGGGGGCATGAGGGGGCATGCTTGCTGGAAAAGGGTGAGAACATTTGAACGGCTGCAAGATTCTCTCAACTGCTAAATTGCTAAGCTGCTGCACGCATGCGCACAGCTCACCTTGCAGGGCAGCCAGCCGCACAGCCTTCTGAGGCGTGTCTGGGTTGACCTTCACACACCCTGCTGCTTGAAATTCCGGCAGCGATGCCAGCTGGCAAGGGAAGGGGGTTTGAATGGGGGGTGTGGAGGAAGAGAAGAGAGGCATGTCAGCAAGGGGGTTTGTACAACACACCTTGCAGCACAGCCCAAGCCGCAGCTGGCAGGGGGGTTTGTAATTGGGGGCGTGGAGGAAGAGAGGAGAGGCATGTCAGCAAGGGGGAATGAAGGCATGAGTGCTGTCACAACACGAGGCACATGGCAGGGCAGATGATGCCGACTGGCAGGTCGTGCTGCCTCAGCTGGCGAGGGGGTTTGTAAGGGGGGGTGTGGAGGAAGAGAAGAGAGAGGTTGTGTCAGCAAGGGGGTTTGTGATTTGGGGGTGTGGAGGACGAGAAGAGAGGCATGTCAGCAAGGGGGTTTGTGACTGGGCGGTGGAGGTTGGAGGTGAACGGGCAGCAGCCTGCCCTGCCCCTTCAAAGCTGGGGATGCGGTGGTGCATGGGATGCGGTGGTGCATGGGGCGCGGTGGTGCATGGGGCGCGGTGGTCACAACACACCATAACCTTCCCCTGCCCCTCCCCCCTTTCCCCCTTACCGCTCTCCCCTGTTCCCCCATTTCCCACGACTCCCCACCCCACCATACCATGGCAGCAGCTTTGTCTGCCCCCTCAAAGTTGGGAATGCGGTGGTGCGCGGGCCTTGGGGGTCAGATTTCGCCACAATGCTACCCACATTCCGCCTCCCCTTTTTTCCCCCTTTCCGCCCCCTCGCGCACCATGGCAGCAGCTTTGTCCGCCCCATCAAAGTTAGGAATGCGGTGGTGCACGGGGCGCGGCGGTCGTGCCACGTCACGCGCCTCCAGCTCGTCCCACACGCCCTTCCGCACCGCCCACTTCCACGCGCCGCCGTCACCGCTCCCGCCACTCCCTCCCGTATCTCCCGCCGCGTTTCCCGGCGCGTCTCCCACCGCGGCAGCCGCTCCCCGGGAGCCTTCCGCCATCGCCGCAAGCGCGAGCTCAGATCGCGCCCTCATCTCCGCCCGAGCCGCGTCGTCAAGCGCAAGCCGCCGCGCCTCCGACTCGGAAGAGCCGGATTCCCCCCCTGCGCCCCCATCGCCGCCTCCTGACTGGAACGGCTCGCGCGAATCGTCTCCGCGGTCAGCCTCCCCGTTAGATGCGCTCTGCGCGCCGCTGCGCGCAACCAGGCGACGGGAAATTGCGCGCTTATGTACTTGCGCGGAGGGGAGATGATTCAGGACGCGGATTTGACGAGAGAACGTTGGCGGAGGGGTTTGGCGGAAGAATTGAGGAGCAAGCTGCGCAGTGAGAATTACGGGGGATGCGGGGAAAGATGCGAGGGGAGGGGATACCGCGGAGAGACGGGAACAGGGCATGAATGGCCGCATTTTGCGGTGAGCGAAAGGTTGTCTGACTGTTGGGGCTGGTGGGTCTGATTCGATTCGAACATGTTGGTGGATAGGGGGCCCATTCACAGACGGAAATAAGCTGTACGCACTATGAAATCCTCCGACATTGTTGAGTGAAACAAGATGATTTACTACTTTGCACCATACATAATATCGGAACTCGAGATTTCGGGTTTCTTGTTATCAAGGTTGTGTTACTAGGTTATCGGAGCAGCAACCTGGGTCTCTCTCAAGCGAGTAATAATTTGACATCAAGCCTAGTCAAGGAGTTGCAAGCTTCCCCAGCCGAAGTGATAAATTTTGTCTGGGTGAATCCCGCTTCAAGTATTCAGGCAGGCACTTGCCTAGTTTTAGCGAGGTGGAAGAATCCCGTTCCATTACTTGTACTCGCGGTGTCGCTTGACCGGTTCCAACCGTCACGTGATTTCTTCGTCGTGGTTATTCTCCTTCGCACCTGCCAGAACGCTCCCATATGACATCGGAAGCCGCGCCGAGCGCGGCTTTGACAGATTCCGCAGATCATGTCGGAGATTCGGATCATGTCGCTTGCACCGATGGGATCGCCACGACGGAATTTCCTGATTTTAGGCCGGGAACATTGGAAGAGCACGCGGAGGAATACCATGATGTTCCCTTAGCGGAGGGGACTGTAACGGAGGAAATGAAAGGAATTCCTGCAAGTCGGGGTTCAGGATCGACTGATCCGTCGAAGCGCGATCACGCGAGGACTCCTGGTGTGACTGTACCAGGTTGTGACGGTAACGCGGGTATCGCTGAGACACCCGCGTCACCGCACCCAGCAGCTTTGCATTCAGCCACGTCAGCATCAGCATTATCAACATCAGCAGGAGCAGGAACAGCACCGCAGCCAACCTTATCCGCCGTCAGTTCCTCACCCTCGATATTAGCTGCCGCGTTCTCCCTCTTTCCATCGTCGCCGTTCGCTGAAGAGCTCCCCTCGCCGTTGTCACCCCCGGATCTGTCACCTCCGCGTTCCCCCTCCGTACAGTCACCGGCGCAGGAGGAAGTGGAGCTCGAGGCGCTAGCGGGGACGACAGGGGGAAACGGCGGAGGAGAAAGGCGCGCATCCGCGGATGGGGGGGAAGGGGAAAGGGGGGGAGCCATGCGGAGGGAAGAAGGAAACGGGGGTTTGGAGGGGGATGCGGAGGCGGAAGCGGGAATAGGGGAGGCTGGGGGGGAGTTAGGGGGAGCGGGGGTCCAGTTGGGGTCAGGGGAGGGAGCAGCAGCAGCGTCTGGGCTTGTCTATTGGACCGGTGTAACGACAGCTACAGATCCCCTGGGGAGCGTTCAGTGCCCCAATTCTGATGTTGAGCAGGTGAAGTGCAATACGTGAAGTATGTTTATCTTTCTGCTAAAGAATCGCTGCAAAATGCAGCATGCGTAGAGTGATTTTCTACTTCAAGTTAATTGGAATTTACTGGTGATCAGTCAAACCATTGCAGTCCATCTTTTTCCCCCCCACGCTACCATTCTCAAGGTATCTGGCAAGACTGCCGTTTTAAGATACTTGATTTCTCTTTGTGCCATTGATGCTCATGGTGATACTGATGTATCCCTTTCCCACATTTCCGTCCCTTCCTCTCCGTATCTTTCAGGTCCGAGCCGTGGCTTCCAGGTTACTTCCTGCCATAGCAGCGGCCACAATCGACCAATTAGAGAGCTCGGTAACTCTCTTTACCTCCCCTCCATCCCCGTTAGAAGCAGCAGAGGCAGTCAAAGGCGAGCTGCTCACGTTCCTTGACTCCCGCACCAAGGGCCTCACCGCCCCTGCTGTAACCCCTCCTGTTGCTGTTGATGTTACCGAGGCTTGGACCGGGGTCTGGCATGGGCATGGGGGAGAGGAAGAAGAGGGGGGAAGAGGGGGGAGTGGAGGAGCAAGGGGAGGGGGAGAAGTGGGGGAGGGTGGAGCAGAGGCAGCAGCTAGTAGTTCAAGGAAAGAAGCCTCAGTGTCAGGAGTGCAGCAGGAGAAGCAGAATGGAGAGGAGGAGAAGCAGCCGTTCAACTCTCCTGTGGTTACCACCATCCAGGCTCTTCTAGACGAGTTTGTGGCTCAACGCCAGAGCTTGCTGAGTCGCTTTTCGTCCGCCTTCAGGCGTGTGGAATATACTGAAGATAAGGTTGCATCTCTGGCTCAGCAGTTAGAGGAGTCTGATCTGCTTGACAAGGCTTTAAGGATCAACCTTGCTCAGTCGCTTATTCGCCGCGTCGACGCCGCGGGTACTGCGCATTGCTCGGCGCAATTCGGCACTGTCACGGGGTTGAATTCGCACCGGGAACGGTGCCCGTTTGAGGAGGTCCAGTGTGCGAACGCGCCCTGCTGGGAGCGGGTGTCTCGGTACAGGATGGGCGTACACGATAAGAAGTGCCCCCTTAAGATTCTTCCGTGCCGGCAGGGGTGTAGACTGACAATAGCGCGAGCCGGGATGGAGAGACACTGTGCGACGGACTGTGGGATGAAATCCGTCCCCTGCCCGTACGCCCCTATGGGGTGCACGCTGCCTCTGCTGCAAAAGGACGTGGCGAAGCACTGTAGAGAGCGGGTGGAGGGGCATTTGCGGGCGGCGTGCCAGCTGGTGGTGGAGATGAGGCAGGAGGGGCAGGTTGTAGCGCGACGGCTTGACATGCTGGAGAAGGTGGGATGGTGAAGACCTTTTTTTTTACTCTCCATTTCTTTTTTTCCTCTTTGCTTTCCTCTTTCTTTGAGCCCCTTACGAGCCTAATTTTTATCCAATGATTGAGTTGCTCCAACACACCAACCTTCAGGTTGTTTCACACCACCCACTCCCTCCTCTCCTCTCACCACCCCAATTCTCTTCCAACCCCTCCCTCTCTCGCCTTCCCTTTGGCCGTTTATTGTGGCAGTCTATATCCCTCACAGAGAGACAAGGGAAGGTGGATGTGGAAATGGTGCGCAAGGAGCTTCAAGCATCCAACAAGAAAGTAACATCACTGGAGCAAGAGTTAAGTAGGGTTCGGGCAGAGGCTAGGAGTGCAACAGCACTGAAGAAAGAGGTGTCCGTGCTACAAGAGCAGCTGAAAAAAATGCAACCCGGAAGGAGAACAGGGTGGTGACGTGGTATGTTGTGTGTTATCCAAAGTAAATAGCACTTGTATATAGTGTTTAGTACACGCAAAAATCTATGTACATTTCCTTATCAAAGTGGACCAAGATCTAATGTGCCTGCCTATTTTGTCGCACGCGCGAACAAATGGTGCGTGTCACTTGTCCACTTCATTGGGTACGACTTTTTGGTCGGCAAGATCTGTGGAGGAAATCCCGCCGGGCTGAGATGGCCGAGCCTGATCACACGCTTGCCAAGACTTCACGTGGATTCAGTCACACGAACATCATCGCCCACGCAGATCGCCTGTAAGGCGGGCCCGAAAGCGGCGATGCTGACTTGGATCCTACCTGTTTTCAGTTGGTAATCAAATTTCGGCGTCAACCACATCCGTTCTGGGGCAACTCGTACTCGAGTGAAACTCATGCTGCATTCTTGTGTGGGACCGTGCCCGGAAACTTAGCACACTTACGAAGTGCTTACAAGTAAGGGATTGTTAAAAGTTTCATGCACAGTGCTGAACCTGTCGAAACTAGCGCCCCTTGGGGTGGTCCCTGTGCAAACATCTCAAGTGTGGGAACTCCCAGGGGCTGGGAGCCGCAGCATTCTCTTCCCATGCATCTGCCCGCGAAGCGCAATGTCGACCTCGCGCCGCCGTGTTGCCACGCATGTGAGACCCCAGAGTGACTGGAAGACCAAATTCCCTTCACCACCATTCGCGGTCCCTAGCTGGCGCAGTGTTCCGCACTGGTGCTGTCCTGCTTTGTTGGCGAACCCTCCAATCGCCTCTCTTCCGTCAAACCCCCTGCCCTCTCGCCGTTCCTATTCCCTCGTGCTCCTAATCTTTGGTTTTGCTTTACACGCCTTTATGATAGGGTTTGCGTTTCTGTAGTTGCAGCGTGAGTTACTGTGATGTTTCTGACGCGCATCTCCGTCTATAGTTGTCCCCTTCGTTCCAGAAGCCATACTAGATAAGGACGAACGACATCAGTGAAGCGCGTTGACATTGAGAGAGTTCGGTAGACCGTTGCCGAGCCCCATTTGTACATAAGCGGCTATACAGAGTTCAGTTGCTTCCCTACTGTCTTGGCGTTGTGACTGAACCATACTCTGGTTAATTCTCGTTCAATTTTGCGGTAAATTACTCCCTCTACCGCTTCTCCGCTTGGAGCATCCGTTTTTATCGTCAAGAATTCTATCCTCATTTTCTCATACCCCACTGAGACACGTTTCTGCCATTCACTGGTCAGAGACTGAACTATCAAAGGAGAAAAAAGCATCCTTATCCGCAGTCACTTGTGATTGTTATCATACCAGAACTTAATCCCCCGCTCTGAATACTCTGCCCTTACAAGGCGCCATTGTAGCGACGGAAACGTATTCTTCTACGTCAGCCTTCCGTCAAAGAACATGTCGTCACCGCTAGTCGAATTTCCCTCGCGGACGCCGACCGCACCTCCGGCTTTCGCGCCGGCGTTTCCGCTCGGCTACCATCCCCATCCGCCTCGTGCTCTCGAGCCGACCAACGATTTTCTCGCGCTCTTCCAGCAGCGCGCGAAAGAAGCTGAGACCGCGGCTCTCCGGGAGAAAGAGCTTCTCGAGGCCGCAGCGGAGAATGGTTCGAGCTGCGACGACGACGATTGGCCGGAATGGTCGCCGACAGCCGCTGACGACGGCGACTGCGACGACGCGTCGCAAGAGGACGACGGGTCGTCGCACAGTCGCAGCAGCGGGAGCAGCGGCAGCAGCAGGATCATCGGCAGCAGCAGCAGCAGTTGCTCCGACGACGATGGGCCACACCACATCCGGCATCTTCAGAGCGAAAACTGCGAGGACCACCGCGGGAACGGGACCGACCCGGAGCGCCAGAACAAGCAGCGTCTCGCGCGCCGAGCCAGCCGCGATCGGTGGAATCTGCAGCAGCTGCTGATCGCGGAGCGCAGAGCACTCGGACCGTCTGTGGCCGGGTCGTATTTTTATCAGAGGGAGGACGCGGAGGGGAAGAAGCCGCTGTTTTCGTTCGGCGTGATGACGGACGTGCAGTACGCTGATATCGACGACGGACATTCGTTCCTAGGCATCCCTCGGTTCTACCGACACAGCTTAGAAGGTGGGGGAACTTTTTTTCCGTTTCGTTTATGGCGTCCGGTTTTACTATAATTTCCTACCGTCTCTCGTCTTCGTTCTCCGACGTGTTAATGTCCTCGGAAGTAGTTGAGCCAATCTTTCCTAACATTGTTGCGACGGTTGGCTGACTTTGGTTTGGCAGTGGTGAAGAGGGCGGTTCGCGACTGGAACCACGAGACGAATCACATTTCCTTCGCAGTGCATTTCGGCGACCTCGTCGACGGACTCTGTCCTCGCGAAAAATCGCTCGAGGCGTTTCAAACGGTAATACTCCAGCACTCGCCGGATTTCCAGGAGAGAAACGCATCATAACTTCCCTTGCCTCAGTTCCACATCTAATGCACGCCCTGCTCTTACTCCTCCCATTTCGCGCGGCATTGTTTCGTCGAGCTTGCCCTTCTCCGCATCTCATGTTCAGATCGTCTCAATGCCTTCCCTCCTCCCTCTCCTTCCCCCTTCTCCGCCTGCTTCCATTTCGTCGCCTCCCCGCCATCCTCCCCACGGCAGGTTCTGGGCGAGTTCGGCAAGTTGGCCAACGGTCCTGTATACCACATGCTAGGTAAGCTTCTCGCAGCAGGTTCATTTTGATTCGTTTATCTCAATTCTTTTTCTCCTCCTTGCGGCATTGTTGTATCATTGCTGCTGATCCGATTTGGATACGATCATCTGAGTAGCCTGGCCAAGGCAGCTTTGCTCAATGTGTGAAATCTCCTGTATCCATCCACCCCTGCAGGCAACCACTGTCTCTACAACCTCCCCAGGAAAACCCTCAACAAGCTGCTCGCCATGCCTCCCTCCGCCGACCACCGCTCCTACTACCACTTCTCCCCCTTCCCCGGCTTCCGCCTCGTCGTTCTCGACCCGTACGACATCAGCATGATCGGCTGGCCGTCCGGCCACCCGCATGCTGAGCTGGCGGCGGAGATTCTCGGGCGGCAGAATCCGAACGAGGAGAAGAACAGCCCGGAGGGGATGGTGGGGATGCAGCGGCGGTTTTTGAAGTTCAACGGGGGAGTGAGTGAGACGCAGCTGGGTTGGCTGGAGGGGGTGCTGAGGGAGAGTGATGAGTGTGGGGAGACGGTGATCATCTGCTGTCACCTGCCTGTGGAGCCCAACGCTCTTCCCACCTCCACGTGCCTCATCTGGAACTATGACAAGGTGAATGCTGCTCCCTGTTCCCGATCTCCTAACTCTCTAGTATCCCTCACATTCCCTTCCCTTTCCTCCCCCCATCTCCCTTCCTCCTCCCCCACTCCCCCCCCCCCCCCCTCCCCCTTCCCGCCTTCTCACCCTCTTTGTTACCCGCGCTTGACTAATCTGCTTGACCCCGTGCATGTCCCTCATCAGGTTCTCGCGACCATTCAGCAGCATGACTGTGCGGTGGCAGTCATTTCCGGCCATGCTCACTTTGGAGCGTACACCTGTGACGACAAGGGCATTCACCACCGGATTCTTGAGGCGGTGAGTGGAAACTTCTGGCTGGTCGTTTCTTTGCCTTGAAATGCTTAGAGCTTTCTATTCTTTCAGAGCTTATCCATGCTTTTATCCTTTTGTTTTCCAATCAGTGCTTGGTGGTGATGTGGGAATGTAAAAATGTGCTGATGGGTGATGTGATTTCTTTATGCATGCTTCCCAATCCCCCTTGCCTCTGGCAGGCACTTGAATGCCCGACAGGAACCTCAGCCTTCGGCCAGATTGATGTGTATCCTGATCGCCTCTGTCTCATCGGGCATGATCGCATGATGAGCACACAGATGATTTTCCATGACCGCCATGTCAACCGCCATGTCAGCAACAGCAGCTCGCCTGCCTGCCATGTCAGCACGCCCATACATACTAAGGTGAATAATGGCTTGGCCCTGACATTGCAAGGGGTGGCAGCACAGAAGGGATCGCCGCAACCTTCCCCTGTGCGGCGAGCCAACAAAGGGTGGCTGAGTGCAGTTTCTTGTGAGCAAAATTCTGGGATGCAAGTGAGATGCCCCGGCATCGAGGTCTGAAGGTTTTTTCAAGGCAAGTGTCCTGTTAAGCGTTTTTGTAGGGTGTAAGCCACCCTGTTGCTTGTGGTTATGTTAGGTTGCCTGCAAATGGCCTCATTTGTTCATGCTCTTATGTATCTCGTATACTACCTTACCTGTTGAAATGATGTATTCTTTTGCTTTTAAAAAAACTAGTCGTCTTTGACAGCTCACCTTCAATAGCTGGTAGACGTTTTGCGTTACGGAGAGGTAAATTTTGGCTTTAGGTACGTTTGGAGGATTTTTGCGCGGTGCTAAGCTCAATGAAACACGTTCACTTAAAGCCGGCGGCCCAAATTGTTCATGCTTTTAAAAGTTGACCAGAGGGAGTTTTTCTGGTGTGGGCTTTGGCGAGAGTTTCCGATTTCGTCTCGGTTCGTTTTTTTCGCGAGACCCAGCCAACCCTCGGTTTTCCCCCTGGTGAGTGAATCTGTCTTCGAAAGTCCCAAATTGCAAGTGCGTGACTTTCAAAAGCTTGGACACTCAACTTCGTCAAGTTTCAAAAACTTGACCCTCGCGGCCCGCAATTTGGGACGCGGGCTTTAACGAGAACATTTGAACATTCATTCGGTAGTTGGTCCATCGAATCATCCGCCAGTGAATGCGAGAGCCCAGGCATCCGAACACCTCCGGATAGCCAACGTCATTTTCAGCTCTGCAACGATTAGGGCGGGTCCTTTTCGTTCGTTCGAATGCGGCTCAGTGAGATGTCTCGCGTTCTACAACAGTCAAACTAGTTACCAAATCGGTCGGGATGGGTATTGACCAGAAATGAAATGAAAATGACGCGCCCTTATCCAGCAGTTCATGTCCTTCTGATGCAATGTTGATGCCAGCGGTTATCGCGCAGGCACTATCCGTTCTGTGTAGGTATTCCAGATTCTGAAGCAAGTCTGAGGCTCAATGCTGAGGTAGAATCGTAGCTCAGGGCCTCGCTGAAATCATGCAGCGACCTAATGGCAGGCCAATCGAGCAATCCGATAACGACCATGCCTTCACGCAACGCCAAGCTTCGGCTCCGCGATGGTCGTCTGCTACTGCATCGTCCGCGTCTAGTTCTCAGGTCTTCGTCAACGACGCCTCTCCGTTACCACCATCCTCAGCAGCGTCTCCTTACTACGGTCGTTTCTCTCCGCGAGGAAGCCCTTTCCCGAGCCATCTGGCTCCTGGCTTTTCCGATTATCCTGGCCTGTCCGGAAACCTGAGTAGCTCTCGAACGAATTCTGATCAAGATTCAGGCCATCATCGGTCGCTGTCATCTGGAAGCTCGTTATGGCAGTTTCCTCTCGTTCCTCCGCCTCGTCCACCATTTTCGCCTTCTGTGTCCGGATTGTCTCAAGCCGAGACTCCACGTATGGCCAGATCGCGAGAAGATGCCACGGTGTTCACGAGTAGCAGATTTCGCACGGCTGACTCTCCTGCAATGTCACCAACGAGAACTGCTAGCTCAACTTCTACTTCAACCGCTCCTCCAATTTCATCTTCTGGGAATTCCGTATCAACGTTGGAGCGTATTGAGACCCAGAAAGAAACGTCAAGTGAAAAACAGCCGCTGAAATTTCCTTGGATGACTCCTGTTCTGATGACATGTCTTCTCATTGTGTTCCTGGTTACTATGGGTCTGAATAATTGTCCCCGCCATGCTCACCCGGATGGCCAGGCCTGCATGTGGAGGTTTCTACACCGATTTTCCTTTGAGCCGCTGAGAGCTAATCCCCTATTTGGGCCGTCCGCACGCACGTGAGTGGACGGGACGGTAAGGTCAAGGAATAGCCTCGTCTTGTTTTTTATCTCGTGATTTATAGTACGCAATGATCATTACCTACACAGATTTGTTAACATGGGAGCCCTTAATGCGGATCTGGTGCGGAACCACCGCCAGGGATGGAGGCTTCTGACGACCATGTGGCTGCACGCTGGCACGGTGCATGTCATCTGCAACCTCCTTTCCCTCGCAGTTGTCTTCGTCAGGCTGGAGCAGGAATTTGGACCATGTGTGTGCCAGTAGGCTTCCAGCATTTCTTAGACACGTGTGCTGCAGATATCTGCTACCAGTTGCGCATTCTCGATTATGTATTCTGATGTTTGTCTTTCGACTGCAGGGCGTCCCTTGGCCGTGTTTTGCTTTTCGGGAGTTGCCAGTGCTGTGTTCTCAGCCATGTTTCTTGGAGACAGTATATCCGCTGGAGTATCAGGCCCACTTTTTGGTCTCGTCGGAGCTACCTTTTCAGAAGTCATTGTCAATTTCAACTTTTACCACAACCATTGGCAAGCACTTGCAGTCCTGACACTCTTGGGACTAGTCAATCTTGCCATTGGACTGATGCCCTTCATCGACATCTTCACCTGCATTGGGGGGCTCCTCTCAGGCATTCTCCTTGGGTTTGCTCTGTTGATTCGGCCAAAGCCCAGCTTCATTGGTCTGCTGAGAGCAACGCCTGCTGCCATAGATACGTTGATGGGTGAGGGACGAGGCATCCCTGTGACGATGAAATACACAGCATGGCAGCAAAGAATCCGTATGGCTGCTGCTGCTGTATTTCTTGCCCTGTAAGTCTGAAATATCTTTCAATGCTGCCAGGACTTTCAATGTTCCCACTTAATCTGTCTCTCCAACTGTTTCCTGCAGGCTGACGTCAGCGTTCATTGTTCTTTTTGTGATGAACAACATAGCCGACGAATGCTCATGGTGCCATTACATGGCATGCATTCCCACATCGTTCTGGACTTGTGATGTCTCAACTGCTCCTACATCTGCTGCTCCAATTTGTCAGGTTGACGTCATCTCCAATGGACTCCATCAGGTCCCCAACCTGCTTCTGATGCAATGCTGTTTTCCTCACAGGTTAAGACTTTCTCGAATCACACGGGTTTCCTTTTGTGCAGCAACAGCACCAGTGTTGCCTTCTCCACTCTGTCTGTTGGCTCTAACAATGACTTGCGAATGCTGTGCACACAAACATGTGCGCCATGAGTGCCTTTGCCATGGTTATTGTGAATGTGGACCACTTTTAAACACTAGACATTGGCCAGATTAATTTACAAACCTACGTACATATACCCATGGGCCATGACACCATCTGCGACAGTTTGAATAGGCTGGCCTGGCTTTGATGTAAACGGTCCTGTATTTGCCTGTGCCTGACACCAGTGGCAGCTAATACCAAACTGCTACCGTATGAAACACAAGTCTTTCATGACAGTCTTCCGTGCTACATTCTAATAAATAACCTGCAAGCAACAGGTACCAGAGAAGAGAACTAAACACTAGGCACCAACAGCCTCTTGTGCATCCTGCCCATTGCTGGAGCTCCTACTGCTACCCTGTTTAAGGTCATGGTGGTTGTGATGATGGTGATGATGCTGCTCATGATGATGCCGCACCACAAGAACTGGTGCTGGGGAATGATGTGCACAGTAATCGCTCACACTGCCAAGCATCATCCTGCAGTGTCAAGGGACATTGGAAAACATGAAGCAAAATGAGGTCAAGAACATGACTCCCCCTCGTATCCTGTTGTTACCTCTTGCATGCAATCTCTAGTTCTCCATGCAATACCACTATGCTTACCCCCCTCTTTGTCATCCTTAGCACTTAATGTTGAATTCTCATCACACGTTCACTTTCTCAAGGCCATGCCCCCTCCCTAAGGTTGCTGTCATACGTCCAGAGATACTAACCCTTTACCACACTGACACAAGCAGCAAATCACTATGCCGTGAGCTTACATACCCAACCTCTTACCCCAAACCCAATTAAGCATCCATACCTCTTCATGGCTCCTCTAGCTCTGCTGCCCATCACCACAGCATCCACATGGAAGTGTTGCGCCACATCGCAGATGACGTGGCGGGCATCCCCAAGTTCCACGTGGCCCTCACACGCCAGTCCGCGCTCTGCCAGCTCCCTGGCCACTCCCTGCAGCTTCACGTGTGCCTCGTCTTTCCGTGCTTTTGCTGCTTGCGCCAAGTCATCACTGCTGACATGCAGGCCTGACAGGTGGCATGGAATGCGGTTCAATGGAGCAGTGCGACGATAAGTAGATGGGTAGAATGCGTTAACCATTTTAAATGCGCTTCAGAAGGGGACCGGGAATGGAACGGGTTGGAAGAAAGGAGGAGGGGAGGGGGAAGGGATGGTGGAGGAAAGGGGGTGGGTTGAGGGGTTAAGAGCATGGTTGACGTGCAATGGTTCGTGCGAACTTATGATACGCACCGCCTCGACCTGCGGAGAAACGGGATGAAAGCAGCGACGTGTGTGGCAGCTTTTAAGCCTCTTAGTATTTTGCCCCTAGGGATTAGCTTTCAAGCGACGCAAGCGGCCCAGTTCATTGTGCATTTTGGGAGGGAGAATTGTGGCGATCGCGGGAAACGCGGAGGACGCACCTGGTAGAGTAATCATGGAGGGAAACGGCGAGATCGCGCCACCGGATACGGAGGCGGGGCCGCCAACCCCGGGCATGAAAGGCGAGAGCACGTGCAGCAGGAACACGTAGTCTCGCGTCGGCTCCAGAAACCGATCCAGCGCCCACGTCAGCAGCTCGTGGCTCGCTGACGTGTCGTCTAGAGGAATCAGAACCTTGCGCAGCTTGGGGGGGTCAACGGCTTCAGCGACAGGCGCCGTGTCAGGCGCAGCAACGGGTGTCTCAGCCTGAAGCTCTGGGATAATCTCAGAGGTTGCTGACGTACTGAAGTTCGCTGGCGGCGCGACGGGGGCGTCGGCTACGGTGATTTCCGTAGTTGGAGCAGCTTCCGAGGCGGCAACGTTCGGGGAAGGCGCGTCAGCGGGAGGCAGGTCAACGGATGGCGCGTCAGCCGAAGGCGCGGCATCAGCGGAGGGCGCGTCAGACGGCGCGTCAGCAGAAGGCGTGTCAGCGGAAGGCGCTACATCTGCGGGCGTTTGTTCACTGTTATCAGTCACTGGGTTATCTGCAGCAGCAACAGCGGCATCAGGTGCAGTCGTAGCAGTGGCCTCAGCGGAGTCCATGAGTCGATATAGCTAAGAATAAATAAATTAAACTGAGTGAGAAAGAAACTACAAGGCCATGAAGTCGTCTGTTCGTACCAGGAGCGCGTAACAGAGGTATGCCAAGAACAGGCAGGTCGAGCCGGAAACGACGGGAAAGCAATGAAGTTAGCGAGAAAATGTGAGGCATGATTGAAAATGTACTTCCCCACACCGCCGCCTCCCTTCCCCGTTCAACTCGCACCCTTTTCCCCCCTCAATCCCTCGCTTCTCAATCATTCGCCAATCTCCCCCCCTCTCCTGACCTGAACCAATACCCGAAGCGCGATGTTGGTGCAGCTCCACAGTGCGAACCGCGTTGTTTTTCGAAACCGAGCGGAGAGCACGATTGGCCAACCACACGCACGCTACGGGACTCGAAAAGCTGAGCTGGCATGCAATTTCTCCAGCACGTAGAGAAAGTCTCCTGCAATCCACGTCAAGACGAGTCAGATTTTGCGTGGATTCAGGATCCGGGTCATGACTGACTCGTGGTGCCAATCACACCAGAATGTGTGCTGGCTTGTTGAAAGCTGTTTATTCCACGTGGAGTCTGCATCTCGACAACCGCCGAACCGCATCGTCCTCATTATCGGACTCGATTGGGTGGACAAGTTTGGTAGAAATTCTTGGTTACATTGTCACTGTTATAACCGTTTCGTTCTTTTCTGTTACATAGAATGGTTATGATAAATACAGATGATAGCAGATCACGCAAGCACATCGAGGATACCTCTCAATTTCTGCGTGGAAAAAGGCTTTCTGACATTGCGGCGAACGCCATTAGCGCCAGCAGCGCAACCAGCGGCATTATCGTTTACCACCTAGTTTGATCGAAAGGCCATATTGCGAGATTCGACCGCCTCATCGCCACCGTTGACGTACGGTCGTTAGAATCAGCACGATTCACGCAATTAACACGATCAGCACCATCCATCCGACATGGCGATCTGTCGGGCTCCAGTGCGCGTCCTTCTCGCGTCCCCGCCCGTGCCGCGATTACAGCGCGTCCATACCTCCTTAATCACCTTACCAACGTTCCGCCAGATCCCACGCGGCTCGGCTCCTCGCAGTCGTCTTTCCGTTACTTACTCTCGGTTGGTGGCTACGCGCTCCTCACTCGATGCTCCAGCCGCTCCGCTAGGAACATCCCCGCTACAAGATGTCGTATCCGCTGATAGTAAAGACAGATCGGAAAGCGCCGAGCTGTCGCATCAGTGGCGTCGCTTTGCGTCGCAGCTCGTCGCACACCAGTTCCTGGCTGCACGTGGCGAAGTCGCAGACAGCCAACCGGCGACAGCGCAGCAGGAGACTGAGAAGGACGAGTCACAAACGCCCCAAATAGAGGTACCCGAAAGAGACGATTCTGTCGAAGCCGCTGTATCAGCACAGTCTCCAAACGAGGATGCGCCGCCCGAGCTGATTTCAGATACTAGGTTGGATACGATTCTGTCGGACAAGGGAGAGGCGAAGCGCGCCGTTTTGGCCCTAGCGAGATGCTCGCCGCATCTGTTCAGGTAGAAGCGGGGAAAAGGGGAGAGAGAGGCAGAGGGGGGGCGGGGGGGGAAGGAGGGAAGAGGGGAGGGAGGGAAGAGAGTTTGGGACACAGAACAGGGTCTTAGCTTTAGGCATGGTGCAAGCTTTTAGGCGGAGGAGCGGGCAGAAATTCCAGGTCTCGGGTTTAGAGCTTTAACAATTTGAATCACTTGTAGTGAGCGAAATTACGGTTTTATTCTGAAGCGCCTGTTCAACTCTTGCACCAAGCTGCCCCTCTTTTTTTTCCTCTCCCTATTCTCCCGTTTCCACCCGATCACAGCTCCTTCTCATTGGGCGACGTGCGAGCAATTGTTTCTGCGGGCTGCCCGTCAACTGACCGGAAAGCAGTGAATGCAGCCAAGCGCCTGCGCTCCCTCCTCTCCCTCCCAGAAGCAAAGGTGAGCTCTAACCCTCTCCGCACCCTGCCTTGCACCCACCGTTGCACTTCCCCTCCCCCCTCTCCCTGCTCCTACCTCTTTCTCACTGAAGCAAAGGTCAGCTTTAACCCTCTTCGCACCTCCCACGTCCTTGCTACGTGCCGCTCTAGCCACATCCTCCTTTCCCTGCATCCTGCTTTTCAGCTTCCCCCCTTTTTTTGCTGTGTCATCGTTTTCGTTCGTAGGTCTGCCCTCGCTGCCCGCTGAGGAACACTTGTGCACGGGCAGGCAAGGAGATTGCACCACAGGAGGGCTATTCTTTTGTGCTGCCCGCAGCAGCGCTTACTGGAACAGTTGTAACGGGCAACTCCAGAGATGTAACAGATAGCATCAGAGATGTAACGAACATTGCCAGCGCCACATCTGATGTTCTGCGGCTGGCGATGGGCTACGCTGTTCTGGCTGAAGCTGAAGCTGCCGCCACTGCTGCAATGACCCCTGCCGCTGGTGCTGGTTCTGCGGATTTTGCCCCGTCCTACCGCCGAAAGCCTGTGTCTGCGGCGGCAGCAGCAGCCGCAGCGTCTTCAGCTCGCATCCTGCTTGCGGCAGGAGAGGAAGTGCCTCATGCTGCTATCAGGTGAGAAGCGTGGCATGTGGATGTCACATGGCAGGTGAGTGGCATGGCATGTGGATAGCACACGGCAGGTACGAATGATGCCAGGTAAGCGTGGCGTGATGTGAGAATGTCTTTATATATATGGCACAGTGCATCAGCCGTTTCACCTTCATCTTCCGCCTTTCCCCCACATCCTCCCCCGCCTCTCCTGCTCTTTCTTCCAGGAGGCAGGCCCAGCCGGCAACAGCCAGTGCTGCAGTTGTTAGCACTGGCAGCAGGGGTGAGTGGCAGCCTAGCAGGGAGAGCAGAGAGATCAGAGAGAGCAGGGAGAGCAGGAGGGGAAGAAGAGGCAACAGGAAAGAGATAGGCAAGAATGGAGAGAATGGGGAGAATGGGGTCATGGAGAGTGAGGGGGGGAGTAGAGGCGGGTACTGGAAGAAAAGGCCTGTGCATGGGGATGAGGGGTCAGGGATGGCATGGGGAAGAGGGAGGGAGAGTGGGAGCAAAAAGAGCAGCAGTGGGGGCAGCAGTGGCAGCAATGGCAGCAGCAGCAGTAGCAGCAGAGGCAGAAGCAGCAGCAGCAGCAGCAGCAGCAGCAGCAGCAGCAGCAGCAGCAGCAGCAGCAGCAGCAGCAGCAGCAGTGGCTCAAGGGTGGAGAGGTGGAGTCCAAGTGAGGGCTTGCAGAGGGAGGGGCGGAATGACGGGAAGACAGGCAGAAGGGAAAGGGGCGGTAGAGTATGGGAGAGGAGATGATAGATTGGAATGTAACTCAAGGGAATGCTGAAGGTCAATACCTTGTACCACACCTATTTTTCAGTCATGTGGAAGAAATGGGAGACTTACACTGTGGAAACTGTTCACACAAATGTTTACTGATTTTTACTGCATTACTGCAGCACTAGTAGGTACGGTACTGGTATTTCAGCAAATTTACCTGTGGCACAGTTTATACCAGTAGGGCGTGCAGGATAGAAAGATCTGTGGCGCATGTGTCGGCCTGAAATGTTGCCATGCAGTGACCATGTGTTGTGTCTCAAGCTCAGCCTCTTGCTCCTTAGAATCAACGAATCTTTCTCCCAACCCAAGTCCCTTTTTCAGAGCAAACAACAGTTATCATAAACTGGTCGAAACTGGTATTCACGAAGGCTTGAAATTCGTTCCACGTGCACTATTCACATACAAATGATGCATTTACAACAACTCATGTATGACACTCTAGTCACCCCGCCGCACCTCGCCACTCACATCTCTGCCTCATCCCCTCACCTCTCACATCTCTGACTCATCCCCTGTGACACTAGACTCTGCTGGCCGTCAGAAAGTGACCTGAGCTTTTCTCCCCACCTATCTCCGCAACTGTCTCTCACCATATGACACCGCCTGCATCAGTCAAAGGGGGCAAGCCCCAGCCCCTCCCCCAGCTGCACCACCCTCAGGTCCGCCCTCAGGTCCAACTGTCTCTCACGTGCATGTCTCCGTGCCGAAAGAACCTGCCATTGTCCCTCACCACCTCACTCCACGGGTCCAGCAGGCTGCAGTAACTGCAACCTTCACAAGCCCATCCCCGTCCACCCACCTGCCTCTCCCCTCACCACTTGACCGCCTGCCTCGTCAGTCAAATGGTGCAAGCCCCAGCCCCTCCCCCAGCTGCAGCACCCTCAGCTCCGCCCTGAGGTGACTTTTGAGTCGACTCAAAAGTCAACCCGCCCTGAGGTGCATCACCCCGTTTCTGAGATACTTGCCATTGTCCCTCACCACCTCGCTCCACGGGTTCAGCAGGCTGCGGTAACCGCGCTCCTCAACTCCCCCCTCACCACCACCCTCAGTCAAAGGGCGCCAGCTTCTCCCCCAGCTGCAGCACCCTCAGCTCCGCCCTCAACTGCTTCACCCCGTTGCGAAAATAAGTCGATTTATGAGTCGACTCAAAAACCGCGTGTAGTGAGTCGATTTTTTAGTCGACTCAAAAACCGCGTGTAGTGAGTCGATTTTTGAGTCGACTCAAAAATCGACCCCCAGCTGCAGCACCCTCAGGTCCGCCCTCAACTGCATCACCCCGTTGCGAAAATACTTGCCATTGTCCCTCACCACCTCGCTCCAAGGGTTCAGCAGGCTGCGGTAACCGCGCTCTCTAAAGAGCCCCTTGAAGGTGTGCGATGCGGTCTGCTTCTGCTGCACGAATTGGCCGGAAGGGTGCTCTTTCACGAGAAAGGTGAACTCGATGGTCACACTGTCGTCCAACACCCTGTCGTGCGTGGGGCTCCTCTGAAGAGGGAAGGAGGGGAGAGTGAAAGGGAAGGGGATTGGGAGAGAGGGAGCAAGTGAGAAGAGCACAGGTCCTGGGACAGGCCCGAAGGGGGCTCTTTCACAAGAAAGGTGAACTCGATGGTCACACTGTCGTCCAACACCCTGTCGTGCGTGGGGCTCCTCTGCGGGATGGGGCAAGGGTGTGGGTGGGAAGAAGGCAGTGAGCATTAACTGGTGCTTCTGCTTCTGCCTCTGCCCCTCGATGGTCACACTGTCGTCCAACACCCTGCCGTGCGTGGGGCTCTGCTGAGGAGAGAGCGGGAGAGGGGTGTGGGAAGGGGTGTGAGAAGGAGGGTGGGAAGAAGGCAGTGAGCAATAAGTGGTGCTTCTGCCTCTGCCCCTCGATGGTCACACTGTCGTCCAACACCCTGTCGTGCGCGGGGCTCCTCTGAGGAGAGGGATGGAAAGGTGAAGGGGAAGGAGAAGGGGAATAGGAAGGGGTGTGGGAAGAGGGCAACGTTTATGGGTGCTTCTGCCTCTTCCCCTCGATGGTCACACTGTCGTCCAACACCCTGTCGTGCGTGGGGCTCCTCTGAGGGGAGAGCGAAGGAGAAGGGGTAGGAGGTGGGGGAGGGGAAGGGAGCGGGGGCAGGGAATGGGAGTGGGAGGGAGGGGGTGAGTAACAGTCGAGCCTTGGAGGAAGAGACAGAAGCCTGAACTTCGAACAAGTCAGCAGCACAGGGCTGGAAGATGGGGAAATTAAAAAGGTACCTGGGAGGCCTGGAGGAAGGAACCGAAGTATGATTGCCCCACAGAAAACAGCTTATTGCACACCCGTGGGAACAGCTTATTGCACACCCGTGGGAACAGCTTATTGCACACCCGTGGGAACAGAAACCGAAGGTACATAGAGAAACGAGCGGGAAAAGCTTATTGCACAACCACGATCAAATGCTAAGGGGAGTGAGACCGTACCTGGGAGGCATGGAGGAACAGGCCTAAGTCTGATCCCCCAACAGGTGCAGCCACCCGCACGACCTTTAGAGATAAAAACCAGTTTTTGAGGCCAGAAGCTGAGGGGATGGGATATGTACCTGGGAAGCTATTTTTGAGTCGACTCAAAAAAAGAAGCTGAGGGGATGGGATAGGTACCTGAGAAGCTTGGAGAAACAGGCCGAAGTCTGACCCCCCAACAGGCGCTGCCACTCGCATGACCTTGAGCGAGAAGAGTTTGCCGTGCAGCCACGCTCCTCCTGTGTGTGAGGAGATGGGAGGGGAGAAAAACGAGAATAAGAAGGGGGCGATTAGACCACATGTACATACACGCATAGTCACTGAGCTACCAGCAGTATCGCCTGCCCCTGCTTTAGCATGTAACAATCCTGCAGGAATTTGTTACAGACAGACTGCTGGTATCAGTGCGCACACACTATAGCACATGTACAACAACGTTGCACACATGCTCAGCTGCTAGCAGTATCGCCATTGCACCCACGCTGAAAGTGCATGCAGTATTACCTGCTAGCAGTATCGCCATTGCACCCACGCTGAAAGTGCATGCAGTATTACCTGCTAGCAGTATGTACGGCCTGTCCCGGCTGTAGCATGTAGAAGTCCTGTAGCATGTAGAAGTCCTGTAGCATGTAGAAGTCCTGTAGCATGTAGAAGTCCTGTAGCATGTAGAAGTCCTGTAGCATGTAGAAGTCCTGTAGCATGTAGAAGTCCTGTAGCATGTAGAAGTCCTGTAGCATGTAGAAGTCTTGTAGCATGTAGAAGTCCTGTAGCATGTAGAAGTCCTGTAGCATGTAGAAGTCCTGTAGCATGTAGAAGTCCTGTAGCATGTAGAAGTCCTGTAGCATGTAGAAGTCCTGTAGCATGTAGAAGTCCTGTAGCATGTAGAAGTCCAGTAGCATGTAGAAGTCCTGTAGCATGTAGAAGTCCTGTAGCATGTAGAAGTCCTGTAGCAGCACCTCGCTACAGATGGACAGCCTAGCGTGCAGGCGAACAGCTGTTGAGGCGCCTCAAAAATAGCGTGCAGGCGAACAGCTGTTGAGGCGCCTCAAAAATAGCGTGCAGGCGAACAGCTGTTGAGGCGCCTCAAAAATAGCGTGCAGGCGAACAGCTGTTGAGGCGCCTCAAAAATAGCGTGCAGGCGAACAGCTGTTGAGGCGCCTCAAAAATAGCGTGCAGGCGAACAGCTGTTGAGGCGCCTCAAAAATAGCGTGCAGGCGAACAGCTGTTGAGGCGCCTCAAAAATAGCGTGCAGGCGAACAGCTGTTGAGGCGCCTCAAAAATAGCGTGCAGGCGAACAGCTGTTGAGGCGCCTCAAAAATAGCGTGCAGGCGAACAGCTGTTGAGGCGCCTCAAAAATAGCGTGCAGGCGAATAGCTGTTGAGGCGCCTCAAAAATAGCGTGCAGGCGAACAGCTGTTGAGGCGCCTCAAAAATAGCGTGCAGGCGAACAGCTGTTGAGGCGCCTCAAAAATAGCGTGCAGGCGAACAGCTGTTGAGGCGCCTCAAAAATAGCGTGCAGGCGAACAGCTGTTGAGGCGCCTCAAAAATAGCGTGCAGGCGAACAGCTGTTGAGGCGCCTCAAAAATAGCGTGCAGGCGAACAGCTGTTGAGGCGCCTCAAAAATAGCGTGCAGGCGAACAGCTGTTGAGGCGCCTCAAAAATAGCGTGCAGGCGAACAGCTGTTGAGGCGCCTCAAAAATAGCGTGCAGGCGAACAGCTGTTGAGGCGCCTCAAAAATAGCGTGCAGGCGAACAGCTGTTGAGGCGCCTCAAAAATAGCGTGCAGGCGAACAGCTGTTGAGGCGCCTCAAAAATAGCGTGCAGGCGAACAGCTGTTGAGGCGCCTCAAAAATAGCGTGCAGGCGAACAGCTGTTGAGGCGCCTCAAAAATAGCGTGCAGGCGAACAGCTGTTGAGGCGCCTCAAAAATAGCGTGCAGGCGAACAGCTGTTGAGGCGCCTCAAAAATAGCGTGCAGGCGAACAGCTGTTGAGGCGCCTCAAAAATAGCGTGCAGGCGAACAGCTGTTGAGGCGCCTCAAAAATAGCGTGCAGGCGAACAGCTGTTGAGGCGCCTCAAAAATAGCGTGCAGGCGAACAGCTGTTGAGGCGCCTCAAAAATAGCGTGCAGGCGAATAGCTGTTGAGGCGCCTCAAAAATAGCGTGCAGGCGAACAGCTGTTGAGGCGCCTCAAAAATAGCGTGCAAGCGAACAGCTGGCGCCATTGCACCCACACTGAAAGCGCATGTAGACTTACCTGCTAGCAGTATCGCCTGTCCCGGCTGTAGCATGTAGCAGTCCTGCAGCAGCACCTCGCTACAGCAAGAGAGCTGGCACCGGAGCAAACACCATCAACACACACTCCCCAACAATGCACGCACAGTTACCTGCCAAGAGTATTGCCTGTCCCGGCTGTAGCATGTAGCAGTCCTGCAGCAGCACCTCGCTACAGACGGACAGCTGGCGCCGGCGCTGGTATCGCCTGTGCTGCTGCTGAATTGAGTCTAGAATCAGTTGCTGCTGGCGTTCAAACGAGGAGCACTTGAACCAGAGGGCCTCTGTGACGAGTGCGTGGAGGGTGGGGGAGTCCGCTTCTGGTGTGGTGGTGATGAGCACATGCAGGGCAGATGTTGCCATTGCTGGGAAGCGAATGTTGCCTGCTAACCTGGGGAGGGGGGGAGGACAAGGAGGAAGCGAATGAGAGGGGAAATGGATTAAGAGGGAAAAATGGTGGAAACGTTGGCTTCTGGTGTGGTGGTGGTGAGCGCGTGCAGGGGGGAATGTTGCCATTGCTGGGAAGTGACAGTTGCCTGCTAGCCTGGGAGTGGGGGAGGAGAAAAAGAGGAATCGAAGGAGAAGAGAAACGGGATAAGAGGGGAGGAGGGTTAGGGAATCAGCTTCTGGTGTGGTGGTGGTGAGCGCGTACAGGGCAGATGTTGCCATTGCTGGAAAGCGAATGCTGCCTGCTAGCCTGGGATGGGGGGGTCGAGGCGAGGGGAAGAGAGGGGTAGGAGGACGCTAGGAGGGAAATAGAGAGGAAAATTCTTGGAAGGAAGCGAACCTACAAGCACTTCTATGAGGCTGAGAAAACCCCACCAACCACTCACTAACCTTCCCAGCATCTCCTTGCGCTGTGCTAAGTCGTCCGGCCAGTGGTGCCGCACCCAGTGCAGGCAGGCTTGCAGCACCGTCTCCTCGGCCTGCACTCCCACGTCGTCGCTCCCCAGCAGGGCTTGCAGCGCCTCGAGAGGGAGAGAGAGAAAGTCGGGCGTCTGCCAGGTGGCATCCAGAGAGGTGAAGTGCTGCACCAGGAAGGCCGAGGAGGAGGCAAGGAGGAAGGAGGCTGGTGGGGAGAGTTGAAGGGAGGAAAAGGAAGGGAAGAAAAGAAAACGAGGTCAGGCGTGTGCCCGGTGGCGTGGAGGGAGGTGAAGTGCTGCACCAGGAAGGCTGAGGAGGAGGCGAGGAGGAAGGAGGCTGCAAAGGGCATGTGGAAAGAGGGAGAGAAGAGAACAGAAAGGAAGGAAGTCGGGCGTGTGCCAGGTGGCGTTGAGGGAGGTGAAGTGCTGCACTAGGAAGGTGGAGGAGGAGGCGAGGAGGAAGGAGGCTGCAAAGGGGCAGTTGAAAGAGGGAGGGAAGGGAGTCAGCAGTTTTCCAAGCAAGCAGGTGGCGTGGTGACTTTTGAGTCGACTCAAAAGGGAAGGGAAGTAAAGGGAAGGGAAGTAAAGGGAAGGGAGTCAGGTGTTATCCAAGCAAGCAGGTGGCGTAGAGGCAGGTGAGAAGTGCTGCACCAGGAAGGCTTAGGAGGAGGCGAGCAGGAAGGAGGCTGCAGAAATAACAGAGGGGAAGGGAGGGAAAGGGAAAGAGAGCATAGAGTGGGCAGAGAGTGGGCAGAGTGAGTGACCAGAGGAAGCCGGAAGTCTGCCACCTGTGGAATTGAGAGAGGTGAAGTGCTGTACCAAGAAGGCGGAGGATGAGGCGAGCAGGAAGGAGGCTGCAGAGGGGAACATGAGGAAGGAAGGGTAAGGGGATGAAAGGGAGGGCGGCTCTTACGGCTAAGTGGGGAGATAACAGGATGAATACAGGAGAACGGGAGAACGCGGTTCTGAGTAGCCCTTGGCCTTACCACCCACGCACCCACCTACCCTTGCACTCACCTTACGAGCAACAGTTAGTAGGAAAGGAAGCAGTCGGACTATTAACACACAAAAAAAAAAAAAAAAAAAAAAAAAAAAAAAAAAAAAAAAAAAAAAAAAAACCCGACCCACCATAAGGCTTTGGGACCTACCCCACCAGCCAGCGTCCTACTTACCAGCATCAGAGAGAGCAACGTTGGAGCAGACTCGGAGGAGCGTGCAGGCGATGTCAAGCGTCAGAGGCACCTCCCTGTAGCGGAGAAAGAAAGAAAGAGTGTATGGCAGCAGATCAGGTGAGAGGCACTTCCCCCAGTACACAGATAGTGGATGGTGGAAAGGTGAGAGGAGAATGGGGAGAGGGTGGGGAGAGGGTGGGGAGAGGGTGGGGAGAGGGTGGGGAGAGGGTGGGGAGAGGGTGGGGAGAGGGTGGGGAGAGGGTGGGGAGAGGGTGGGGAGAGGGTGGGGAGAGGGTGGGGAGAGGGTGGGGAGAGGGTGGGGAGAGGGTGGGGAGAGGGTGGGGAGAGGGTGGGGAGAGGGTGGGGAGAGGGTGGGGAGAGGGTGGGGAGAGGGTGGGGAGAGGGTGGGGAGAGGGTGGGGAGAGGGTGGGGAGAGGGTGGGGAGAGGGTGGGGAGAGGGTGGGGAGAGGGTGGGGAGAGGGTGGGGAGAGGGTGGGGAGAGGGTGGGGAGAGGGTGGGGAGAGGGTGGGGAGAGGGTGGGGAGAGGGTGGGGAGAGGGTGGGGAGAGGGTGGGGAGAGGCAGGATAAGACGGAGAACTTATTGGCGAGCAGCAGCAGGTGCAGCACAGCCTTGGGATCATCGTTCCAGCAGATTCCGCTTTTGAGTCGACTCAAAAGCAGATTGCGAGAGGGGAGTGGGATGCAAGTTCCGAGAGTTCTGCTTTTGAGTCGACTCAAAAGCAGATTCCTGATACTGTTAAGGGTTTGGGGTACACTGCTTACCTGAGGTGGTGCGCACACACGTCTACACATGACAAGACGAATAACTTGTTGGCGAGCAGCAGCAGGAGCAGCACTGCCTCAGGATCATATTTTCAACAGTGACTGGTACAACAGCGGCACAATTGTTACACTTCCTACCTCAGGTGGTGTGCGCACGAAGAACTTGTTGGCAAGCAGAAGTAGCAGGTGTGCGCACACCACCTGAGGACAACCTCGGGATAATCCTGCTCCATTCTATGACAGCCCACGGCGCTCTTTTTGAGGCGCCTCAAAATGCACCTCAAAATGCACACCACCTGAGGACAACCTCGGGATAATCCCGCTCAAGGCGCTCAAGGTGCCTTCTATTACAGCCCAAGGCGTTCTTCTCATCACCGTGACTCCTTTTGAGGCGCCTCAAAAGTCGCCTCAAAAGGCGCCGCAAAAGGCGCCTGAAAAGGCGCCTCAAAAGTCCATCTTAAAACAGCCCAAAGCGTTGTTCTCATCACCGTCCGTGACTGCAGAATCACCGACCTCAGGTGGTGCGCGCACACGTCCACACAGGATAGCACGGAGAACTTATTCGCCAGCAGCAGCAGGTGCAGCACAGCCTCGGGATCATCGGAGCCTAGCCGCCCCGTGTACAGATAGTGCAGCAGATGCATGAAGGGGTGATGCTCTGTGGGCGAGGGAGGGGGAAGGGGAGAGGGGGAATGGGGAAAGGCCACTCATCGATCATTGGAGCCCAGGCGCCCCGTACAGGCAGTGCAGCAGATGCATGAAAGGCTGTTGCTCTGTGGTGAGAAGAAGTGAAGAGAATGGGAATGCGAAAGAGCGGGAAGAGAAGGATGCAAGATGAGGGGGAGCGGTGAGTGGGGCAACGGGGGTGCACGTGAGTGTCTTGCTCAGGTTGCTTCCAGCAAGACGTTGACCAGTGGAAGATGAAAGAAGACTGTTCTCGTTTTGAGGCGCCTCAAACGTTGACCAGTGGAAGATGAAAGAAGACTGTTCTCATTTTGAGGCGCCTCAAACGTTGACCAGTGGAAGATGAAAGAAGACTGTTCCCAGCTTCCACCGGAATTGTGACGGTCAAAGAAGAAAGCAGAATGTTCTCTCGAGAAGAAAGAAAAAAACCAGAACCTTTACCTTCGGGTGCGAGTCGGATGGTGACCGGAGCAGGCTTTGCACAGTCAGACGAAGTAGAAGGAGGAGGGAGAGGAGGAGGCAGGCGCCATTGCGGTGAGAAGAGAGATTTGAAGAAGTCAGACTGGGACACGAGGATGGCTGATATCACGTGCACCTGCACCCTACGAGGCTTCTGAGATGTCTCACAAGGCACCTGCACCTGCTGCTCTGCACCCCCGCTGCTGCTGCTGCTGCTTCTGCTGCTGCTGCTGCTCTTGCTGCTGCTGCTGCTTCTGCTGCCAATGAAAGCAGCACCAGCTGCTGCTGCACCTCCACTGTTTCTGTCAGCGCCAGCAGCAGAGGCTGCTGCGGCATCAGTCACGCCGTCGATCGTGCTTGAATCTGAGCCGTCCATGCCAGCTGTGGCAGCGAGATCTGCAAACGCCATTCCGTTATTCCCCATCCGCTCTTCTTTACCCTTCCGTAATTCCTCTCCGCGCTCTCGCTCGTGACCGTTCTTGTGTCCCTGCTTACGCCATCCTTCCTCCGCGTGCTCCTGCTCTTCCCCCGGCTCACGACCACCTTCGTCCTCCAGCTCATCCGCGGCAATTTCGAGGGAGAGGCAGCGGTCGCTGAATTCGGGGTTGTTGAGTGCAAAGGAGAAGTCGAACGCGCGCGGGTCAGGCGGGTACGACGGCCGCGGCGGCGGATGCGGGCGCTGGTGCGCGGGAAGACCGCAGTGCGTCCGCGCCTCGCCGGGACTGCCGCCGCTGCTGCTGCTTCCGCCGCTGCTCGAATTCATGACGGAGAAGAACTGTGCAGAGGCTAACTAATCAGACTTAATAAGTGGTCTGGAAACTTGGAGTGACAGCTCAGGAACTCTAATTCGGCGAACAAATCCTTACTAAGAACCTTGGCGACTCAGGAAACTAAGGTTCTTTATAGCCCGGAAATCTTCTAATCCTACAAAGGCGGCTGCATGTCCGGCTGACGCGCTGTGATTGGTACCTGGCAGCCGTGTAGCCTGGGTAAGTTGCGCTCCGCAGCGCACGGAAAGCTTAGACCTTCATTTGCAGCTGAGAGCGTTATTGCAAGAGCTGCACGGACGCACTGCCTCTGCTGTCCCTTAAAAGTCGCCCTGGCAGGACGGGAATCAAGCAGGCGACGACGCGTGCAGCAAGGTCGACGGCATGCTACTGGATAAGCAGTCCTCACAGCGCTGGCGATTCGGGATGATGATGTCCGTCACCTGCCAGAAACCTCCCAGCATTCTATGCAGGCCAACTTGCTATTTAGATTGAAGCTAATTCAGAATCTAGTTACAACCACCCATTTTACTATCAGGGAGCTCCCTGCGCTGGCCCATGCCGCATGCCCGACAGGTTGGAAATGAAATCCTGTTTCGACGAAATCGCGCTTGGTAACTGGATTGTTTCGCCGTGACCCGCCCCGCACGCAACTTTCTTGCACCAGGTGCCACGCCAGGAAAGTCGCAAGCGACCTTTGGAACTCTGGTAACAAAGCTCTCATTTCGTGAACCGCGGTAACCGCATCTTGCAGCGTTGAACTCTTCAGCATACACGAGTTCAATATAACAACGTAAAATATCTCCTGTTCATAACATTCCAAGCTGAAACATACCTTGTGTGTGCCTGTAAGGAAATTCCTTTTTCCTTACTTCGCATCTCTGCTCAACGCGTACATCACTGTAGCACCTCAGTCAGCACCGTTACCACTCGCGACCATCGCATCATTCATCATCCCGCCATTTTCGCACATCGCATCCCGACCTCACGGCTCGGCTGGTAACCCGCGCTCCGGACCTACACTTCGACACGTTCCCAACCTCAGTCCCAGGCTCGTCGCGCGACCATTACCGTTACCACTGTAGTTTCGCTATATATTCTTCGCTCATGCCTTCGCTCATTGTACTCTTGCTTCGATAGTGCAATTCTCGTTCGTTCACTCAATTGCACTCGTAACACTTGGTATTCAGAGCCTACGATCCCATCTCGGACCGCATCCACACCTTCGCTTCCCCACTATCTCAATTTTTTGGGGGGGGTAGACGTCTCTCAGCGATACAGCACCGCCGCTCGTAGTGCTCTCTCGCAAGCACGCACGGCCACGACCGAGGCTCTCGCTGAGCTTGCCCGACACCCCCGCCATGGCCGACTTCACGCTCGCCACATTGACGCAGGAGCAACTTGATCGTCTCGTGCGTCAACTGGAGGATTCGGCGCTTGAAATCGCGACCCTCACGGCGGAACGTGACTCCGCCCGTCAACAATCCACGATGAACATACCGACGACATCCCACGCACCAACAAACGCATCTGCACGTTCGGATGAGCCGATCATCATCTGGTCCGGCACACCAACACAACACGACAGCACGGAACAACGCTCAGGCGCAGCCAGTGAGGGCGCCGCCCAGCCGATGCCTGGCATGGGAGGAAACAGGATCGCACCAAGCCCACGGGAGCCTCGAGAAGTCCGTCGGCACGTGGAATTTGCGGCGACAAGTGGCGAACAACCCAACATGGCACCAATGCCGCTCAAGCCGCAACGCCCGCCCTGCTTCGACCCAAGTCAACGTGGCAGTCCGACAGTTCAATCGTGGGTCTTCACGATGAACGTTTTCTTCGACGCCAATTACGTCGAGTCGGACGCCGCAAAGATCCGGTATGCGGTTTCACTGCTAAGGGGCCCCGCCATGGACTGGTGGCGAGTCATCGTGACGTCGCCACGCGCCTACGAGCCACCGTCGCACGAGGAAGGGCCCTCGGGTCCAGCTGTCACCTGGAGTTCGTTCTGCGAGACCGCCCAATACAGCACGTGGGATGCATGGTGCGCAGGACTTCGGGCGCGTTTTGAGCCGATCGCGGCTTCAATTTCGGCGCGTCAGAAACTGCGCACTTGGCGCCAGCTCGGGTCGGTTCAAGACTATACAAGCGGTTTTCTCGCACTTTGCGAGCAGGTCGGCTACATGCACGAAGCGGAGCGGGTGGACCGTTACGTCGGAGGGCTGAAGCCGGACATCTCGCACGAGATAATGCTGCGCGAACTCTTTAACTTCAACGAGATTCTCGCGCTCGCCGAGAAGATCGACATTCTACGCCGACCGAGACCGGGGTCCTATTACGGACATCGTCCTCGAGGACCGACCGAGCACGCCACTGTACACGCCGTCGCAACGAATGCAGCTGCCGCACCGTTTAAGGGGCGCTGCTTTGCTTGCAACAGGCCGGGCCATCGCAAGAGCGAATGCCCAGAGGAGCTGAGGCGCCGAGGAGCAGAGCAGGGGAGGGAGTCTCAGAGGCAGGGAAACGCCAGCAGTCAGTAGAAGTTGGGCCAACTACTGACGAGACTGCCTGCTCGCCCAACCACACCGACCCTCACCGAGTCACAGTACCGATTCACGCCATCGATCGGGCTCGGATGAATAAGGAGGGTACAGCGACGGATTGCCCGGTACTAATCTACGGGAAAATACAGGGAGCAGCAGTGAAGATTTTTATTGACGGAGGAGCAAGTCACAGCTTAGTTAATACCGCAACCGCACGGAAATTACAGTTAACACTTAACCGATGCTTACCTGAGATAGATGCACGCTTAGTCGACGGCACGCCACTGGCTATACGGGAAAAGGTGGAGAGAGTAAAGGTCCGCTGCGGAGGGAACTTCGGGTTTACACAGGAAATGCTCGCAACGACACTGGATGGGCACGACATTTTATTGGGACGTGATTGGCTGCGACGGTATAACCCACGAATTGACTGGACGACAGGTAGCTGCACAGTGCGAAGTAGTGGTAACTAGGTCGTCCTACCTCGCTGGCAGCCACCCGAGCCTTCGACGGTCCAGGTCAACGCCATCACGATGAAACGGGCTGTCGCTGCTGGAGCTGACGTGTACGCAGTGGATATCGCATTAGTGCAAAAAGAGGACCGGCCGAGTGATTTGCAGAAATTGTTGGCAGCCGTACCACCCGAACTACAGGCACTACTGAAACGGTTCCCGGGTATCTTTCCGGATGACATACCGCAAGGGCTGCCACCTCAGCGGGCGCATGACCATAGGATCGAGTTAGAACCGGGGGCACAGCCAACTGTACAGCGCCAATTTCGACTGACACAGCCCGAGCTCGACGAGCTAAGGAAGCAGTTAGATTACCTGTTAGAGAAGCAGTTTATCCGACCGAGCTCGTCACCGTTCGCCGCACCGATACGGTTCACACCGAAAAAAGACGGGGGGGTTCGCATGTGCATCGACTACCGAGCGCTTAACAGGGTAACAGTCAAATCACGATACCCCATCCCCCGCGCCGACGAACTAATCGACCAGCTGCGAACCGCACGAGTATTTTCGAAAATAGACTTACGGGGAGGTTACCATCAAATTCGGGTCGAACCATCGGACTGCGCCAAGACAGCATTTAGGACTAGGTACGGGTCATTCGAGTACACGGTGATGCCTTTCGGGCCGACCAACGCGCCTGCAACATTTCAGATGACCATGAACGAGGCGTTTAGGCCACTTTTAGATAAATGCGTCATAGTTTACCTCGACGACATCCTCGTTTACAGTCGGGACAGTCAAGATACTAGCAATGGGTAGGCTTAGGAGCCTTGGTTGAGTTCGAGTAGTTTTAGTTGAGTCGAGAAATTGGAAGAGAAGAAGTGGTTTCACTATAGAGCGAGCAGTACATATAGGCAAAATGAAAGGTGCACCACCAAAACAGAACATTGTATAACTACAGTAATCTACACTACAGGCAGTTACAAAACAATATATAAAACTATATATTATTCTGACAGGGACCAGCAACAGCACTTAGTCGATCTCGAAGCAGTTTTTAAAATTTTAGAGGCACATCGGTTACTCACCAAGGGCTCCAAGTGCGAGTTTTTTCGGGACAGGCTAGAGTTTTTAGGTCACGTCATTTCGGGGGCTGGGGTTGAGATAGACCCTAAGAAGCTGGATACCGTAAAAGCGTGGCATCCCCCGACAAACATCACGGAACAACACAGTTTTTTAGCGTTTGTTAATTACGTTCGTCGGTTCGTCCCCGACATGGCACGCTTAACCGCCCCGCTCACTGATTTACTGCGTAAGGGGGTCCCTTTTACGTGGGGGGAGAAAGAGCATGCTGCCTTCTCTGCCCTGAAAAATGTTCTCTGTTCACCACCCGTCCTACGCATCGCTGACCCACACCGCCTCTTCGAAGTTGTTACAGACGCGAGTGACATCGCCATCGGAGCCGTACTGTTACAGGACTTCGGCAACGGCCTCCAACCCATCGCCTACGAATCACGCAAGCTACATCCACCTGAGCGAAATTACCCGATATACAACCGCGAAATGCTCGCGATCGTGCATGCATTCAAAGTGTGGCGCTGCTACTTGACCGGCGCAGACGTGACAGTACGGACAGACCATCGATCCCTACAGTACCTTCGCGCACAGCCCCACCTCAACCCACGACAGATTCGGTGGCTCGACTTCCTCGAGTCGAATTTCCACTATACGGTCACATATAAAAAAGGAGCCTCGAATATCGCCGACGCACTGACCCGCCCCACTGCCCAAATCCATGCGATACTACTCGCCCAGACCAGCCCGTTACTGACAGGACTATTTACCCACGGATATCAAACAGACCCATTCTTCACAGGAGGAAATTCACAGCAATTCGCAGCAGCCAAGGGGGTCTATTACGTAAAAGCTGGATCCGACCGCATCTGGGTACCAGGGTACACGCTACTACGGGAACTACTGTTACAGGAGGCACACGACGGAGTTACCTCGGGACATTTCAGAGTAGAAAAAACACGGTAGCAGCTGCAGCGGTACTATTACTAGCCGGAAATGTTGACCGACGTGCAACGATACGTGGCATCGTGTCCCACTTGCCAACTCATGAAGTCAACCAGGAAGCGGCCGGCAGGACAATTACAACCAATCCCACCTCCAGAGCGTGCTTGGCAGCAGGTGACGATGGACTTCGTCACGGGGTTACCGGCCGGGGCGAGTGGGAATGACGCGATCCTGGTCGTCGTCGATCGACTAACGAAAATGGCACATTTCGCAGCATGCAGGAAATCAATCACAACCGAGGAAACAGCCCGACTCTTCATCGCCACCGTCGTTCGACTGCACGGGATACCAGCGTCGATCATCAGCGACAGGGACACGAAGTTTACCAGTAATTTCTGGCGGAACCTGTGGCAGCAGTTCGGCACGCGACTTCAATTCAGTTCATCCTAT